TAGCCCAATCAACTCATAAAAAAGGTTGAGAAAAGGCATACGAACTATACCAGATGGAAAATGAAACACCTTTACGACTGCCTGATACTGACAAGTCTTACAAACAAAGCAAGTAACACGATTACTAAGGAGCATTGGATTTCATATACGCTAACTGCAAGAGGAAGACTTTTGCAAAGAAATGGCTAGGATGAAGTTACCGAACCCATCATAAATTTTAGAGACGCAGAGGGCAAAGAGAACAATTGTAATAAGCCAACATCTGTTACATTACTAAAGCCATTCTGAGTTTCTCCATCGAGACACTCTGTCAACAATTATCACGGCTTTGAGAACAGGAATAAGGCGAGACTTTATATGTTTGGATTTCACGGCTTGTTTCATGTTACATGTTCTCAGCAACTGTAATTGTGTACATGAAGACAAACTGTTCCTCTGTGCTCAGCAAACACATGAGAACACAGCCATTTGCTGTCGCCCCGTATAATGATTACAGCTTCTGAAATATTCTCATATAAACACAACATTGGCTTGCGGAAGTAACCTTACCCATTTGGTATGATGTCAAATTATAAATACACGAGACATTTTGTACAGAAGATTTTTCATATGCATTTATAACACAAACGCATGAACTTACCTTATACGTGTATCTGTCTGGGAAAGATTTTCCACATCTCTTGCACTTGAGTGGTTTGTCTGAGGTGTGGAGTTTCTGCACGTGTATTCGAAGGTCAGTCTTGCGCCCGCATGTTGTAGGACACAACTCGCACTGGAATACCGGCTTATCTCCAGCTGCGAGAAATTCAAATCAAGACACATCATCTAAAAATATTAGCATATTATTTTCCTACAACGAAATACACATCTGACAAAGTAACAGCGTATTTAGCGTTAAAGATACACGAATTTAAATATCCTTGCACAAACTCATGGCTGGATTAAATCAGCATTTAAATGCTTTGAAGTGAATAGAATTGTAAAACAGTTTACGTTTATTCATTGCAATTTTTAAGCTAGAATTTTATAATAAAATGAAGACTATTAAGGATGAATAAATTTTTTCCTTTACCAAAGTTTCAAAATTGTCAGCCTGACAGCATAGTTTGCACACCTTTACCATTTTTATCACTCACTTTTTAATATTTTAAATATTGGAAAATAAATAAGCGAGAGTGGCAAAAATATTTTAACACACTGTACTATAGCTTCAGAATGACATAACATCTGCGGCAAAGAAATTACATGCATGACTGGTCAAGTTTCTGATTTGCTGATTCAAATAGAAGATTTTCTGTTCTTAAAATTCTTTGTCTGGGCACTGATAAATACTCCTAAGAGACTGGTAATCCATACAGGAAAACTTTATTCCTTTGAGTACCAACACGCAGTACTGCGGCAGAACACTAATATCTTTATGAAACGAGGATGATTTTATGAATATGGGTGATGACACAAACGAGAAAATTTAAAAGCACCCACAAAAACTTTGTCTGATTTTGGCAGTCTGTGGGACACCACAGAAAAAAAGAATGGATTATTAGAACGATTTTATATATTCCATCTTCTTTCGCAAATTTCAGTAAGATGTTGGCAAGAAAACAAACCTCTTAAAGCGAATGTTCGAATTACACGAAGCTTTAGAAGCATTTTAGACATGAAAGGTCTTGCTTATTTGAATGTAAAGCATTTTTAATAATACTGCGATGTAGTGGGACAACGCGGTCCCATTCCTACGAGCACAAACACCATAACAGGAAAAATATGTCTCACACGGACCTTAAGAGCCAATCTAGCCTTGAGGTGGCATGTGCAACTTCGAAGTCCGTGCAATAAAGCTTAAATTAAGTAAATAATGCATTTAATTGGTAGAATTTATTTTCCTCTAACATGTATAATATTTGGTACGACCTGTCTAAACTTTCAATCCATCACCGAACTGAGATAAGTTTTATTATTTATTTCATGTTAACATTTTTAACACGCAAGATAAAAAAGTGAAACTTTGGACCGAAGATATTCAACGTAATGCCACTTCTTCAAGATATCAATACGTACCGCTGTGGATGAGTTTGTGTGCCTTCAGACTGTTGGACTGGGTGAAGCGTGCGTGGCAGATGTCACATTCGTACGGCTTTTCACCTGTATGTATGCGAAGGTGGCGTTTCAGCTTAAAAGTGTCTGGGCTTGCATATGTACAGTGCGGACACTGAGGAGAAAAACAAAATTAACATTGTCATTACTTAATACATCTCCCGAGACAGGTGGAGTTTTGTGACCGTCTGCAAACCTGAAACACTTAGGAGCAGGAAATCAGTGCATAATGTGACCAACCCAATATAAAGAGTGACAAATATGTTAGAAGGTTGCCCTCGGTGGACTAGTGGTTGGTGCGCTCGCCAATGGACCCCAAGGTTCGCGTGTTCAAACCTGGCTGAGGTCAATTGATTTTTAAGGGTGATAAAAATCCATAGCACAACTTCCTTCGGAGGGGAAGTACAGCCGGAAATCCCATGTCGTCGATTTACAGCACATAAAAGAACCTTACAAGCACGAATGAGATGTTTCATAAGCAAAATTCAGCAACCATTTCTCGCCCATGTCTCTCCTGATTCTCTACCAGATGGCAGACAAATCGGGATCGAGTAGAAATTGTGCAGAGGCCGTGGGCTTGTCACTCGCTACTCACTGATGCATGCTTCAGGGATAGGAAACCTCCCACTCATGAGATGGAAATACTAGAAGATTTATCACCATATTCTTCTTCTTCATGGGGTCTTAGTCTAGCACACCGACTTGTTAAATATTTCTGATCACGCTCATTTATGTACATAAAGAGCATGGCTTGGCACAGAGTTGTATTGTATTAATAATGTATGGACCAACTACAAAGTAAGATCTACATCTACATACCGTAATGCAAAAACACAAGTTACTAATACTATCTCCATGTCTATGGGAAATTTACAGTGAATGCCAATTACGACAACGCTCCTTAAAGGAGTGTGTGTGTGTGAAAAGGAGAGGTTTAGTACAAAAAGCAAAGATACTTCATAAAGGCAGTATACAAACTATCCAAGAAACAGTAAATGTATCGATATATTTTCTTTTTCTTGAAATAATTAAAATATGATTAAAAAAGACGGCGCAGTGGCCATGCGGTCTGAGGCGCCTGGCCGCTGCGACCGTGGGTTCGAGTCCCACTCAAGGCATGGATGTTTGTCCGCGTCTTTCTGTGTTTGTATTGGTAGAAGCCTTGCAGATAGGGCTGATCACTCATGCAAGGCGTTCTACCAATGTCCAAAAAATATATCAATCATAAAACGTCCAAGAGAGGTAAAAACGCGGACCCTGCAAATGCGAATGAAGAAACAAACAATTAAAGTATGATTCATACACTGCATCAGAACCTGCAAAATTTTATTAAAGAATATTTTCTTGATATCCAGAGTGTCTTATTTCACTGTATACTACAGAGCATACAGAAAAAGGGCAATTTCATACTCTTTGACAAGTGTACCAGACCAGGTTATTAATTTGTGTGCACTTATACTTATTTACTCAACGTTAGTTAATAACACAGATTAAACGCACACCACGGAAAGCAGGTAAAAAAGTGTCTACATATACACAAACACCAATGAATAAACATATGAACCCAAAACAATAACGCCAAAAATACTATTACATTACTCTTTTGTACTTTGTCCATCATCTAAATTATAAAATTACGTTCTAAAATCTGGATTTGGCTTTTGTCATCAAGCAGAAAAGGGGGAAGGACAGAAAACTTGCTGGGACTCCTCATACCTGATGAACCTTTTTATAAATCCAAAAATCTGCTGTGTAAACATAAAAGAGCAAAGTACGACAGAGAAGCAAAAGCACCGATCCAATCTGCAGAATAAAATCCGCCATCTTAAGTAGGTCTGCACTGAACTGACCTGCATTTTACCAACCTTGTCACAAATCAGTGGGATCCAAATGGGAGATTTCTGAGGTGGGTTGACTAAATGGATTTGTGACACGTCATGAGCTGCTTCTTTATACTGTAAATGCAATGCTTCATATCTTGGACTTCCCTGCTTGGCCTAATTCTTATTAACATGTTGCAGAGGATCTGACTGGTTTTCAACTCCGTCTTGATGTCATATAACTCCCCAATATGACTAAATTTATGAAAGATGCCTTTAATATACAACATGTTGACAGTACCTGGGCGTGTCCCATTGGCTAATGGTTGGCTCTTAGATCCTGATATTTTTGACAGAGTCAATGAAATACTGAGGGTACAAATTCTGGGCCAAATCCTGTCTGACGTTCATTACTTCATTGGAACACTCTTCCCATGGTAAATTTTACGGAAGATTTAAACCTGTTTACATATGGAGCTCACTATTAGTTTCGGAAGAAAATGCTATTCATCAGTTTTGGGTAATTCACAGGAGCTGGGGTAGCTCAGTCAGTATAATGACTGACTACGGATGACTGGGGGGTCAATCCCTGACAGGGGTAGAGGAATTTTCTTCTAGCATCTGCGTTGAGACTGGCTCCGAGGCCCACCCAGACCATCTAATGGGTACCGGGGTCCTTTCCCAGGGGTAAAGTGTGGCCAAGACATGACGCTGACCAATCACCCCCATCTAGTGCCGAGGTTAAGAATGAGCGCGAGTTATACCATCTCCCCCCACCCCCCCCAAGCACTTACATGGCATATAGTGGGTCAGCTTTATTTTACTTTGGGCAATGCATACAGATGTCACAGTTCACTCTGATACGGAGTTAATTGGCATTTTAATTCGGATAAAAGTTTCTGCACTTTTCTTTCAATTTTTAAGCTGCACTTTCAGGGACTCTTTCATAAACTCTGGATTAAAGTTAAGTTATTCTGCTTTTCTACGTAGGTACATTAATTCATAACCAATGTACAATTTCCTCTATCAGCTGGAATGATCCTAATATTCCTATTGTGTTTTAATGATTTCAAAGCATTAGTCTCTACACTTGATATGTCGGAAGTCCCAGGCTTTAGTTTTCCATCCTAGTAACAAAAAGGAGGAAGTCTGGAAGCCACCAATTCAGGTGTACAAGGCTCAACCAGGAGAACCAATAGAAATGTTTTCTGTCATTCCTCCCCCCTTCAATCTGATAAAAAAGGGAGCCGAATTCAGTTTTCAAATTGCTGTAATTTTATCATTTAGGCAATGGACAAAGTCCAAAAGAACAATTTAAGACACCGTTACCAAACAAACTTTGACCAAGAATACCGTAACCACATACGACAAAGAACATGGAAAAGTGGTATGGGCGAAAGGCGCTTTCGACGTTAAGTCTTAAACTTCTGACGTGAGTATTTTCCAAAGATCAGATGTTATAATAACAACAACAACAACAATACAAAGTTCATGAAAAGCTCCACAAGTGTCTGATGCTAAGAAACTAGGAAGTCCTACGGTTTTTATTATTATCAAATGTTCCGTCAAAATATCTAAATCAACATCATTTCTTTATTTTTTCCTATTCAAAATGACAATGGTAAAACGATCATTTAATTACATAATACCAGACGTCAAACATGATTCATTTAAGATCTGTAACAGGCCAAAGGCTATGAAATGTTGGAAGGCAGCTAAAAGTTAATCTCGTGCCAAAGAGTTACAGTGAAACCTCAATGCATCGTTTTTTGGCGGGGGTGGGAAATAAAGACGATGAATACGGGAAAACGATAGTTGCGGGAAAGCATTAAAATTTTTAAAAAAGCTGAATGTTTCTCTTTCAAAGTTACTTCTTTTTACCAAAAAAGTCTTTAATGTACAACTGGTTTGTCGAAACTTTACGTTTTAGACCAAACAGAGCCCTTTCCACGTTCAAAAAGTTTTGCTCGTCACGTTCACTAACTGCCGAACTCAACGAAACGTAGCTGTACCACTGAACCACTGGAAACGAGATGAACCAGAAGAATGAAAAGTGCCGCCCGCCTTTCCTTTGTACTTATTATAAAAGCATTTGTGAAGAAATTCACACTGCACATGCCATCTGCCATCGCTGGAACGAAATATGAGTGCACCCTAATTAAACTCATAAAATTTCTGACAATGAGCACCGCCATTCACTCCAACTATCACCCCTCATTCCAAAAGAATCTGTGCTGGTTGGGCGACGTAACAGGTTACTGCTACTGTGTATTCCAAAAACTTTGTGCGTCTTTCGGTATTAATTTATCTCAAAACCCAGCATTTTAAATTCTAAAAACATCGCGTAAATTTCGTTATAATTTCTCAGAAACGATCATTGCGGGAAGATTTTGGGCCAGGACTAGGATTTTTGAACGGTTGATGCGATAAAACGATAGAAGCGGGAAAATGTAACATTATTTTATATGGGATGTATCCGGGACCGAACAAAACGGATGATGCATCCGGGAAAACGATAGATCGGGGAACGATGGATAGAGGTTTCACTGTACAACAAATGTGAGTACTGATCAAGAGTTCACAACGTCCTGAAAGCTGCATTTCCCAAGTGCCTAAACGTCAGACGTATAACTTATTACTGATGATCCCCACACCATTACAAAACTGAAACAGTCCCATTTCTTTCAATCAATAGTTTGACGTCTGGTAGGAAGGAGTTGCTCACCTGGTAAGGCCTCTCGCCAGTATGGCACCTCATATGATTCCTCATTTTGCTGAGTTCCACACTAGCGTAGTCACATATCGTACACTTGTGGGGTTTCTCGTGAGTGTGTTTGTACCGAATGTGTCTTATCAGTTCACCTGCGGAAGATAACACAGACAACTAGGTTGTTTTTCTGGCTCACCTGGTATGGTCTCTCGCCAGTGTGGCAGCGCATGTGACGCTTCAATTTACTCAATTCCACGCTCGCGTAATCACATTCTGTACATTTATGTGGTTTCTCGTGTGTATGTCTGTACCGAACATGTCTTACCAGTTCACCTGCGGAAGATACCAAGGGTAACATTTTACACAGCAATCCCCAGTCAACCCCCGTCACTTGACGCACCACCGAACTGTGAAAGTAACTGGTTACAAGAGCAGCCTGCATTTTGTCCCCTATTACACGCTACTCATTACATATTCCTCGACTCGTCTGGCTAGCTTTAAAAGTTCCAAAGGCAGAACGTTTAATTCCGACTCACTTTAAAGCGCTACGACACAAAAATTAAAGTGAATGTTACACTAGCAGTGCCTGTTACTTTAATGTACGATGATACAGCTAGAAAAATGAGAGAATAATCTCGGGAACACATCCAAAGCAAGTAACTGCATTATTAGCCACTAATATTAATTTGAGGAGTGTCAGGTCTCTGTTCCCATCAAATTTCAACTCTAATTAAAGTACCATTTACAAATTATGTGGTGGTACATCAAATGGAAAGTGACTGCAGTGTGTCGTCTTTCTAAAAATCATCTGAATTTAAAATTTATAATGCTGATATATTCGGTACAACACACATGCAAATTGTGTTCAATAATAAAATACATTTTCAGTCACTGTCAACAACCATTCTTGTGACAGTAATGCACCACAAGAAAGAATCAGTAAAATGTTGGTATGGCGAACATTACGCGATAAAATCTCAAAACATTATCAAATACTGCAGCGTCACTTGGTTTTTTTTGGTATGGCGAACATTACGCGATAAAACCTCAAAACATTATCAATTACTGCAGCGTCACTTGGTTTTTGGTGTCCGAATTGAAATACGTTTTCCTCGTCAGTTGCGCGAATTACGTAACGCGTGCTACATGAAACTGCCAGGATCATCAATTGAAACAAAGGTTAATGCACACAAAAAAGTAAACCACAACAAATGAACACAACCAGCAAGAATTTTATATGAAAGAACTTTTACGGAGCTCAGAAATCTGCCAGTTTAGTGACTGGCTGGGTCACCGGGGATCGATTCTCACAGCCGCAGGATTTTTCTCTTCAACATAGCAACTACAGAGACTGACTCTGGAGTCCAAGCAGCCTGAAGGGGTTCTTCCCCTCGGAATAAAGCGGAGGTTCAAAAATTCATGTAAAGGTTTATTTCGGCCCTTAAAATCAATTCATCTGATTATATGGCGATTGGATTTTGCTGGCCCACGAAAGGAACAGGTGGAGGGCTTTGTTTAATTTGGTGGTTCCCTGCACGCTGATTATGATAAAAAAAAACTGCATAATATTTATGTAATTTTATGCCAACAGTTAATAAGAACAAATAAATTTGTTAAATAATAAAAGAGTAATATGCCTTTCTTTAAATAATAATGATGATTATGATGATAAACACGATTATACATGCGAAATTCATGTTTAAAAATCATGAGAACACGTACTCCAGTTTGAAATCAAAATATTTTCCGATCACGTCCCTTGTAATTTCCACGTACATTTACTGATGATGCTGCGGAGCCGATCACATCACAGATATCTCACTGCGCTGCGTAGAATCATGAATTATTTCAATAAATATAAAGATCTGCGTTTGTGAATGAAACGTGAGATCTTCCTATCCTCAGCTTACGCAAGATACATTTACGGTACCAACATTTCAGCAAATACGGCGGCTTGCTTCATTATACCAACATCTCACTGAGTAGAATTTAGTTTACGCAAGAAAACCGACTGATGCATACGTAACAACAGACCAACTCACCTGAAGTGGTGAAAGCACTGTCACAGAATTTACACCGGTGAGGTTTCGTTCCTGTGTGAGTGTTGACGTGATTCTGTAAGGAAGCCAGAGTCTTGAAGCCTCGTTCACATACGCTACACTTGTGAGGCCTTTCTTCAGAATGAGACTTCATATGGCGTGACAACAGGTATCTTAAACAAAATACATTTTTCTAAGTATCAGAATTTCCCCATAATTTAGTAACTGGGAAAAAAAATAAGAAGAGTGGGAGGACGCACGGACAATGCGTCATGCATGAGATGTGATCCTTGATGAAGATTGCTGTCTTCTGGGTTGTTGCGCCGTGTAGTATGGTAGATGTCCACCAACGTTTCAGAGGTCATACCGCCTCCATCATCCTTTATCCCTTTACCTAAGAAACTAATTGCTGCGTCGTCTGTTTACTCGGCATTGTTGTGTTTTATTACTGCCGTCAAAAATCCGCTTTCGTTATTGCGGAAAGAGCTGAGCTGTGAATCGCTTGTAGAAGAAGTGCGTCGTAGATTAAATAATTTTGTGCTGTTAAAAACGTTTTAGAATATCACGAATACTTATCTTATATAAGAATTATTAAGAAATCTGTGATACTCCATTTTAGTTTTGATTAAATTTATAAGTGCCGGTGGACATCGTGGTCTCTTACAATTGAACAAAGTTTGAGGTAAGGGATTCCTATTAATTATTGTTGTTCGTCACGTTAAGCGTTAAGCGCCCGCCTCTCGAAAACCGTAACAGATGGATCCGGACATATTGCGAACGAAATACGCATTACCTCTTGAGCTTTCCAAATCTGTTGTCAGATTTTACATATAACAAATGGTTTAGGTTCTACAAACATTTATTTATACAAATAAAGGCGCATCACACTTCACGCTACTGCTGCGTTTGCGCGTTGCGTCATACTACGTAGAGATAACAAGATGGATGACGCTGAAGCTAAAAGAGTCCGATGATGATAATTTAAATACAAAGACATATTTACGCCAGATTCTCTGGAACCGTGGTTCCACTGTCAATTCTATTTTGGCTGTCCATCACCACTGCAAATATCAGTGATGATTCTAAAGAAAACAATATTAAATACAATAAGCACGAGGACTGTAACGTAGCGTAGGTACAGTTGGGATGATAGCGTTGAAACAAGTGTGAAGCGAATTCATCTGGCTCAGGACAGGGACCAGTGGCAGCTTTCACGAACTTACTAATAAACTTTCGGGTCTGGTAAAAGGTGGAGATTTTTAAGACCAGCTGAACAACTATAAGCTTCTCAAGAAATACTCCACTTCATGGTAGTAATACCATGTTTAGGAAGGAAGATGAGAAGAAATTCTAAACTGAACGCAACATTGTGACTGTCACTGTCTTGGGATAAGTGATCCTTGCGGTAAGAGACGAAAGCAAAACATTTATGGGCATACTTAGCGACCTTAAGCCAAAATTTAATTCAAGTAAATTACGGTCAACACATTCATGATAGAGAAGTTTAATAAAACACGAAATTTTCCAAATTTTACCTTTTTGGACTAGTGTAATTGCAATAATTACACATGTGGGCCTGAGTTACAGTTTGAGATTTCTTGGGCAAAATCTTGATTATTTTGGTCTTATCATCTTCATCTCCAGACTCCTGAAACAACAGAAAACCTCATTTACTCGCTTTCATGCCACATTCGGACATCGGGGCGATCAAATCACATCATTTTACATTCGTTTAAATATTTTAATCTTCCTCCAATAAATCAAACACATCAAATTACATTTATGTGATCTGTCCTGAAGATGATCTTGTAGGGTTGAATCATCATCTAAGTAAAACTTTTGTAAATAAAATATTGTATGACAGAACCTGTAAATTTTTTTCAGCCAGGATAATCAGTCTCTACAGCAAAATTTGAAACACAGGACCCACCAAGTATAAAGCAGGCATAAATGAAAGGATAATATTAAAATTGATTCTAGGAAAATGTAACTGAGAGTTTGGATCAGATTTATCTAGCTCTGGGCTGTTGTGAACATGTAATGACTATTCTTGGTGATTAAGGCACCATAAAAGTAAAGCTGTCCCACTATACGCCATGTAGACGCTTGGGGGGAGTGGAGGTATAGCTCCTCTCTTCCTTGACCTCGGCACTAGATGGGGGTGAGTGGTCAGCGTCACTCCCTCTGGCTGCACTTTACCCCCGGGGGAAATGACCCCAGTACCCATTGGACAGGAGGATGGGTGGGCCCCAGAGCCGGTCTGGACGTAGAGGAAAAAATCCTCTGCCCTCCATCGGGGACTGAACCCCAGTTGCCCAGCCCGTAGCTAGTCACTATGCTGACTGAGCTATTCTGGCTCCTGATTAAGGTACCATATTTAGCCAAATGCCATGCTCCATTGAATAAAAAAGTTCTGTATACGACCAAAAACTGTTATATTATAGTAATGCGGCTTGTTCGACTCCAGAAATCCACACAGGCAGGCACGTTGCCAAGTCCAGTGCTCTGCTGCACCTTGTATATTCCATGCGGTGCACAACTGGTACTTTCACGGAAACATTTTTTTGAAAAACAGCGCACGTGATATTTGGATAAACATATTTCAATATATCATTATGCTAATGAGAAATAATGACACCTTCACTGCAATTAATCATCAAAGGTATATTTGTCAAAGATAAAGTTTGTTCAAAAGAAAAACCCATTAAGTGGCTAATTTTTTTTTTTAAGAATGCAGTCAAACTCGAGCTTTCGTCCTTTTAACCGAGCTAGAGAGATTCATCTCGCATACAGAATCGTTCTATAAAAATATATAAAAACCGTGAATGTTTTAAACGCGAGCGGACGAAAGTGCGACTTACCAAAGCAATGCCTCCTTCTTCACCTTCATCAAAGTCATACACCGTGAGATCCTGGTCATCACCTTTATCATCCTTATCATCTGGCTGCTGAACTATGAGCACGTAACTCACTTCGCCCGGATTTGTGTCAGAGGGAACGATGGTAACGGTCTGATAGGCATCACCAGCGTTTAAAATCATCTGACCCGTCGACTCACCACTAGTATTGCCCTGGTAATGACACAGAAGCACCATACAGGAAAAAGTTAACCTTTGCGCATGCGCGCACACCAAATAAAGCTATTCATGTACAACAAGTTAAACTGTTGGTAAAATAATGCTATAACAGTTAAATAATGTGCAAAGGGTTGATCAATAAGTTTGGTGAATGATCCAAAAGCTCACCATCAATCCTCTTCAAAGTATTTCCCCCCTGCACACACAGACGCACGCATGCTCACAACTTGTTTGAGCACTCCAGCCAACATTTGTTTTTTTTTTGGTGTGTCAACCACAGACAGTGTGTCATGCTGGAAGTGACGTCTTATGTTTCATAATTTATAAGCAAAGCACCAATGCCAAACACAGATCCAGAAAATGTTTCTGCAGACCAAATTAAAAAGGTGCAACAAATTACACTCGGAAAATATTCCGGGGAAAACTTCCTTAAACCCAAAAAGACGTACCTATTCCATCACAATGAGCCACATTCAAAATTTCTGGTAATTGGTAGCTAAAAGTAGACAGAATTAGAATTTTTAAAGTGTAGCTGAAAGTGATGAGGACCAAGGAAAAGATTCTATGTGATTTACATAAATCTTCTGTCCTGGCCGAAATGTCACACGCTTTAACTCCTACGCAATGTGAACTACTAAAAAAATTAAATCCACATAAAACTTCGTATCGCACAATATTTAAATAGTAACGTACATCATCAGAAGCATCCATAGATGTTATTGTCTCTTCAACATGACTTCCCTGGGGCTGCATCGCAACGTAAGTTGTTTGCGAGGTTCCATCTGACGCTTCTGATGAAGGATCTGCGACTCCCAACGAAAAAAATGAAAATTAATTGGTCGTTTCCATTCAAATACAAAACATTTTAAAAATTAATTTATAAATCTGAGGTTATCATGGTGATGAAGATGCTGATAGTAGCTTATGGTGCTCTGTAGTCTTGTAGGCGGTTATGAACTTTTTTGGGGGGGGGCATTGGTACCACCTACATGACTGAATGGCATCAAGCCCAGAAGTAAATTCATATCTAAGATTTCTGGACAATCAAAAGATCGTATTAATAAAATGCTCTAACTTGGCACAAATATGAAGGCATGTAAAAAAATAAGGGTAAGTGTATAATAAATGTTTACATTATCGCACAGCGGTTGGACCAATCTATTTCACTCCAGCCAACATTTGATGCGGTTATGAACTTTTTTTAAATTTTTATTCAATTCACTAATTTATAGCGTATTTGGCCCAACAGAACACATTTACTAATTCCTTCAAAATAAAATGTTTTTTTTTTGCTGGGGCTTCAGCCATTCTTGTAATGATTCTTTCTATGACTAATGCTCATCAATGGCGGTGGTGGTTACGTTTCAGTGCTACAAAACAACTCTTCAAGGTAAAATAATCATCTACTTCACTTTCAGACTTCCATTTATACACAAGCCATAAAAATTGCTTTCAGTTGCTGAACCTCTAATAATTCTCTTCCAAACAAAGTAGGTCGTGACGTACGCATTCTTACTACTTACCTGATACAACAGTCATTACTGGCTGCTGATCAGTGCTTGCTTGGTAGTAATAGTGACCAGACTGATCAACAAAATATGTTCCTTCTTCGGCAGGTTCTTCAGCAGCCACAACTTGCTGAACTTCTGCAAAAAAAATCAAGATTTGCTTCGAATATGATAATGTACACTGAATATTCACGACCTGTAGGAAATAGCACCTAAAAGAATAAAATATTTTTTTTCGTTTTAGACAATTTTTATTAATTTATCTTTCCCCACCTACCCCTTCCACGTCCTCCTCATCATATCCACCTGCACTTATGTCCCATAATCCACCTTATAATGACTGTTTCCTTTACCCCCCCCTGCATGTCCATTCCCTCCTTCTGGTCAGGCTGTGGTATGCACCCCTCTCCTACTGGCTCCTGGGCCCTTGCCCGAACCCCACTAGTCTGTTCCAACGTTCTGCCTCGACTGACTGGTTCCTACGTCTCAAATCGATTCCACACATGGCTTGCTTACTCACCTCCTGATGATGGAGGCATCAAAGACCTCTAAACTTCTACCAGACCACACAGAACTACAACCCAGAAGACTGGTATCTCACTGCTGTGAGAACCCCCAAGTCCTATATAATTCAAGAAGCGTATAGTAATACGAGTAAACAGCTACATCAAGTTAAATATAAATGATTCTTAAAATAAGAACAGCGTGCATGAGTCTAGTTATTTTCAAGGACACGAGATAAATGTAGCAAGTATGGAAAAATAAATACATTAACTACGCTGATAAGTGCAGAAACCTTCGCACTTCAATAATAAAATCCACAGATGTAAATCAAAAGTAGTAAAAGGAACAAAGATGCGGTAAAAGTCAGAATGAGACAATTGCTGTCATACCGAAAAGAGCAAAAGTAACTGCAACTGAAGAATTAATCACCTGTCACATGTTGTACTATTTGATCTCCACCTTGAATCTCCTTATTAAATGTTTCCAGATAATTCTGAATATCTGTAATTGTTTCACTCGCATCCTGACCCTCCATCTTAATCTGCACAGCAGAAAGCCCACCTGAACTGCTGGCTGCGGGATAAAAAAAAGAAAAGAAAGACAAATATCTATAACACTTGTGCAAAAACACAAATTCAGTTTCAACAGCTGCTACATTAAAATCACAATGCAGTTGCGTAATTCTAAGCGCGTTAAAATTCCAACTTATGTTGTAAAAGATATTCATAATATTTTACCAGGCTTCTTTTCCTTGTCATCACTCATGCTTCAGCATCCAAATGCTCCTGAAAATTAATTTAACAGTTAGACATGCAATCAGTAGAAAACTACCATAGCAATCGTTCCCTCTTTCCCAACATACCGAGACTGCTTGATCTGAACTCACAGACTTTAAGATATGTCAAAACTTCTTCCCCATTTACATTTATGTGAAGCTCAACTGATAACCACTAACCTACTGCAGTCTTGCACAATAAAACTATAAAATGATAAAATAATATAAATATAGTAAATAAAAATTCGCAAATAAATACACAATTAATAAACATTAACAATGGTCATAACAAAAGCATGTTTTTCATATAGCTGGATGCTACAACAAACACAAAGTGTCTTGCATAGCAGGCACACAAAACCTGTCACAACAAGGAACATGTACCTTGAATTTGGAGCATATCCGCACTGCATTGCGTTCACACGAAGAGTGATTTTGGTGCGTAAAATTTGATATTAGTCTCCTTGCCTGTGCAAAGTGTCATAGTAATATTTCCGAGAAAGCGGCACTGATAATATTTCGGTCAAGACAATTTGGTGCTCAGAAATCATCTTAGAACCCATTCTGAACAGATCGGATAAAAGAGTGACCATAAGAATTGAGCTTGTGCTGACTTAGAACTTAGAATATGACATTCTTGTGATCAGCAATCACCATTTCCTTTCATACAATTTTCTTCCTAGTTCATCTAAGTCAGAGATGGGATGTACAGACATTCAAAATGCCAGTAATTTTACTCAGGCACAGAGCTTATCTCTTACCTGAATTGATGGAGTATACTGATGAGCAGATATATTTTCGCACAACACATACATATTTCATAAATCTTTCTGCTGCAGATAAACAAACTGTTCAGCAAATGCAGAATGCAATTAAAAAGAATTAGATACCCAGTACTCACAAAAGGATTTCGGTTTCTTCCTATTTGTATCCACTCTATTTCACAGATACGAAATGCAGCATAATAATATGTGAAAATTAAAAATATAAAAATTTCCTCGAATGTATTAACGGAAAACAACATTTTCAAACCGTTTATTAGATAAAGACTGAACAATGACTGGTTAAACACTGATATGGTGTGTACATGGACAATATATTGTGGGGCATGGCCATTAGTTGTTGAGATGTGTGTGAGTTCTTTGTACATATTATGTTTTTTTAAAGATACCCAAAATGGGCCAGGTGTTGTGCACACTGCTGAATAAAATCTTCCATGATGTACACTAACTTAATGTTTTCCAAAGACTCAACAATAAAGGTTGACCAGAATGCTAATCATTTACATACCTGGCACTTGACAAAAATGTTTTATTAAACAAAATATTGTCAAGTAATGAGGCACAGGAAAATCAGAAAATTCACACTCAAAGTTATTTTTGCTGGCTAAGTAGGAACGATTACGTCAGGTAACGTTAAACAAGCACATAATATGCTTGTTGGACATTTGTACAAATTACACTACCTACCATCAACTATGACAAGTCACAACCTGCAGTGCTACACACACAGTAATTAATATATTAATATATGCGAGTTCTGGATTCTTTGGACTATTTTTAACTCATTTATAATTACTATTATTATTATTATTGTGCTCTGCATGACTTTTTAGTCACTTAAATCCAGGAAGGTAAGATGGACAGGGAATGTAGCAGATGAACAATTAATCAAAAATTTTAGTCTGAAACCCTGAATGCACTTGAGAGACACGGGCATAGATGGGTGGATAATACTAAAATTAACCTCAACAAATAAGAGTACAATGGGATGGCTGGATTAGACTGATTCAGGCAATGCAGCAATGAAACTTTGAGTTCCATAAAAGTAAGGATTTCTTGACCAAATGAGCATCTATCAGCTAATCAAGGAAGACCACACTCCACAAAATAAGTTTTGATTTCACAGCATTAACTAATAAAACACAAGTAAAATTTAATATATTGAGTGTGGTCTTATGGGCTGTGACACTATGTAATCTTGTAAGTGGTTACCAATATTCCTATCAAATATTGGTAACTACTTAGAAGACAAGACTGTATTGAAACTCAGCAGACCACAATCAACACTGTCACTGCTATGAGAACCTTAAATTTCAGACATGACAAATACACAAATTTTGTATGTATTTTATATGCTACATCTGAAGTATAAATCTATAGTTGTATAAATTATCACGAGATGTATACCACTAATTTTTGTAATTATTAACTTATAAATTTATGTTGTCATTTGTAAGGAATACCTTAACAAAAAAACCAAGCAGCTCCCAGAACGTCTTGCTACTTTGGCCACACACATAACTACCAGTAAATTTTCCTTCCCTCAGGAACCTTGATTTGAGGCTTACTGTATTTATCTCAAATGCAATTAGCTCCCCAGACCATAACCAAGAAGACTGATTTCTTTTACTAATGTAACCAATCAGGTTCAGGGAATGTGATAACACTGGAAAATATCCTGTCTTCATACTTTTATAATTTCACGCCGTCAATAATACCAATACAGGCTAGTGGCTGCGAGAAACATTGATGCGGATACAACATTACTAAGACCTAATAAAACAGAAACTATATATGATATAGCCACATCCCCACTTTAAACATGTTTTATATTATTACACATAATGGGAACGAACAATTTGGAAGGGAGAACGTGTGTTTTCCATGAGTAAATATGGAAATACAAAATAATACTATAGCAGCATAAAATCTATATTCAGCTGTCTAAACAAATAACAAACCACTGTAGCTAAGAATGCAAAATTTGGAACAGATATAAATCATAAATTCCCTACAAATCCGTATAAAAAAGTGAAAACATGGCAAAGATGCAGCACTTTGCTTTTGCCTAGCAGCTCTGAGTTATGGAAGTCTATATTAATGAACATCATACATATAAATAGAGGTATAAAACATAAAATTATAACAATTCATCCATTGTGTTTATTCATTGTTCTTACAGATTAAATTATGATCCAATATCTTGCGTTACAAATGCAATTTTCTGTTGATCTGGACTGTATATTCTCAAAGCCTGGGTGGTATAGCATATGCTTCTTATTTTAGTAAACACATTTCTGAAAGGACTGACTGTATAATGAACCAAACATTTGTGCGCCCAAGGAGATTTTACAAGTGCAATGTTTTCCAAAAGCCAATGCAAAACACTGTTGCGATTAACTATGCGAGAACACTAATCGTGACGATAAAATATAATACTTTTAATTTATGAGCTGCAAATACCTAAAATATAGTGCACATTCAAACTAACCTATTTAGCTAATATCCTACGTGGAACAGCAACATTACCCATTTTGCGATACTGTTACATGCAAACCACTATACATGCTAATTCATACAAAAAACATAACTTTTCACTGTACTTACCCTATTCACTTCACAAAATAACTCATGGGTCCAGTGACCCATTCAAATTCACACACTACATGTTACACAATTTATTCTAGACCGCCATTTTGTAAGAAAACAGGGATATATTGTGATATGATGAAAAATTTACTTTCAGTGTTAGTAATCATTGATAAGCAAAGCATGCTGAACGTAATCATATGATTACTTCTTAAAGCCACATTCAAATATGGGGGGCATAAAAGCGCCCTCATGTGAAAGATTTAGGTAACGACATTATGTTTTCGCAAGTTACAACGCCATGATTATCCTTCCACTTCAATGTAACAGAGTCCAAAATGCATGTGAAAGGTCACAAGGAAATCTTAGACAATGCACCAATTTAGCCATAATTTCAAGTTGTCTTAACGATACGCAATCTATCGGGACAATTTCAACTCTGTTTCTTACTTACAATTTTGGTATACAGGGGGCATTAACGGCAAAAATTGCTCAAAATTGGCACGGCTGGCGCTGTCATCAACATGGAGTCCACGAAAAAGACGGGTAAGCGTGCCTTGTAAAATGTCGCAAATATTACCTTCAGTTACCGTCTTTGTGCACTGTAATGGTGATAAATAAGGAAATACATTTACACCGTAGATTATTTAACAAATACATACAATTTAAGTTCACAGTTTTACTAATATAAAAGACAACATACCTTGTAACTCTAAATTTGACGAGTGAGGGCGTTGTTTGTGAAAGAGACAATATGGCGATCGAAGTTGGGTTTCGAAAGCACGCATGCGCAATGAAGGTATTGATGTAAAGGAAAGAAGGGTCCGGCTGCGTTCAATAAGGGGGAACGCGAAGCAGTGCGTAACAGGTCGACCAGGCGGGCCAACTTATTTGTTTGAACAATGTAGAATATTTTCATTCCCGTGATTAACGTGTTTACAAAACGATGGCGTTCTTCGTTTATATAATGCGTAATTTTGCTTTCCATCAGCGTGTAAAGATAATTATATTACATTTCATGGATTTAGGAATGCCTACACAGCTCTTAAAAGAAAACAGAATTAACATTAAGGCATTTTAATAAATTAGGAATACAATATTATTTATTACTACATACACAATTCAGTAATTTCCATTCAAAGTAGGCCTATATGGGAAGTGTTTAACAAACAAAACTTAATAAAATTCTGAATCTTATAATTTAAATCTTTTGAGCTATTGCATATGCCGATCTCTACTTGTATACATAATGCAGGAATACTATGTGCTAGACTTAATATTAAAAATTCAGTTATTCACAGAGCCCACATGTAGCATTATGTATTCAAGTGGGTCACATTTAAATGCCTTTAATTTCTATATAGCAGTAAATATTCAACTTTTTCAGACATGATCACACAGTTTAAACCTTAATCAACATTATTAATAAAGAGTACTGAAGCCATAAATTGAAGATTCAGCAGTTCTATACTGCCTCATAAAAAAACTGGTTTTGGTAGTTTCTGGGGACTTGTAAGTGATGCATATTGTGGTTTATGAAATGCAACTTCCTCAGTCAATTCTATTATTTGTGCATTCTTAATACATGGCTGTTCCAAGGTCTTTACACTTTGCAGTCACACCACCAGTACATTTTCCACTGTGAGACATGAAAAGAGTTAAACCCCGTATCTGGTCCTCTATATGCTTTAGTTACCATTACAGCAGTTCCTTTGATTTATCAAGGCAAAATTACAAATTCTATAAATTCAGTGTTTGAACTGAAATAAACTACAGTATTTACATTTGATTCTTTAGAAATGTAATGCACATATTAATAAATTGCTCAGATTACAAATTCAGGATTTAATCTTGTTAACACGGTTAATATTGTACAACACTAGAATCAATTTCATGGCATTTTTACTGAATGCGTAAATGGGAAATGCATTTATTTAGAGTACAGGTTATTTGGAATAAGTACTTTGTTAGATGTTTGGTCTTCCTGTAAAATACTGTACTTTCCTTTATAATTCTGGTAGAGCTACTTTTCCCATTCCCAGAAATGCATCCGGGCCAATTCTATTTGCGTTACTTTTGATTTCAGTTAATAGTCCCATGCAACTCGGTACACACACACAACAACACTTGTCATTCTGTCAAGTGCAATTTGTGAAGCAATGCATGGAGTAACTCATGATACTTCCTAACACAATTCAATATAAACATAAAACACATCTGAATATAACACAATTTGAATTACAAATCAATTTATCTGTCATCACAGAAATAGAAGAACATGTACATTGCAAGATACAAATTCATATTAGCATATAAAAATAGTGATAGTAGCAAACATTTATATTTTTATTGCAGAAAAAGTATACTGATACTCTTGAAAACAGTTTACTAAACCTTAACAATTTAATTTGCTAACAAAAGACTTCATTATCAGGTGATGTGTTTGCAGTGTTGGCAATGTGTGAGCCTTATTTGCTTTAATACTAATGCAACCAGTTTGAGGTGAATCTTCATGATTTTATAAATTCTGGAGGCCAATGCAGAGAACTGCCATCGTCAGTAAATGCATAATTCACTATACATTACACTTCTGTACAAAGAGTTTAAGCAATAAACACATTATGTTTATATATTTGAAGAGTGAAGTGTTTCTTCTGGAAAGCATGCATGCCCCCTGAAATCTTGTGATTCTTGACTGAAAATGTATATTAGGGCTACACCAACAATTAATGTTACTACGACCGTCAGCCACTGTAATTTTCGCGTTTGCCGTATCTCCAAGTGAATTCTAGACTGACACTCTGTCAAGTGTGTCACCTGTATAAACATAAACATGATAAACACTATTTAGCCTTTACAAATTATGCGAGATGAAATGTGAAAGCAACATCATCCTGAAAAAGTTTTTCTACAACATTGTCTCCAATCCTGTACAGCTAAAAGATTCGCTTACAGACACTGGCAAGATGTCTTTTTAAATGAAAGTACGGGATCGCAAAAATCTCAGATCATTTCATCTGAGAGGTACTCACTGGTAAATGCATTTAAAACAAGAATTCTAAATTTGTTCTAGGTTATGATGCCACGTACTCATAGTTAGAAACCAGCGTTTCTCTTAAACGACGGTATCTACCTCCAAGTCTACATCACATCACAACTCAGAAGAACACTGTCATTTTCAAGGCCACGAGAACCTGAAATCTCACAATAATTCTCAATTATCGGTTTAGTTTTCTTTAACGCGTGATTTCAAATCTCTTCTGTACGTATTGGACAAACAGGAACCGTACTTGGTCACGGTTACAACCATAAAGGATTACCTTATCCATAATAGAAACTGAAGCTTTTATAAATAGGATTCAGCCCATACCTCACAGAAAACACAACTTCACCATTATGCAGATCAACACTGATTAAGAGAGTAAGCCGTGTTTAAAGTACAATATGAACAGTTGCTGACTGTTGGGCTACATAGTTACCATGGGCTTTAAAGGGTTAATTGAAAGATCATTCGGACCATGACAGATAGAATTCTACATGAATTTAATCTCTAATTGAAAGATCATTCGGACCATGACAGCTAGAATTCCACATGAGTTTAATCTCGAACAGCAAGTAAACTAAAACATTTATCAGAAGAGGGATGCCGCTTCAAGTCTTAGCTGTACAGTGGTGTATCAAAATTAAGCATTTATATAGCGTGATACCTGGAGAATGGTTATTCACAGCGAAAAAGTATACAAATTGGTAAAAACAGATCAGACAGCAGTGAAAATGCACAATAACTTTACAGTGCGTAGTAAAAACCATAAATAGATGTAAATTGACTACAATCCTATATGTCAGCTCATCTTGGCAATAAAATATGTATAAAAGCCTTACTGGAGGATGGCTGAGAAGAGATTATGTAGGCTCTGAAAATGAATGCAGCATGTTGACTCCTCCTGAGGGTTTTAGGTTCACTAGTCATTCAGCACATCAGAAATAAGAAACAGTTCTACTTACAGCTGAGATCAGTTGTGCTACCTGGCTATCAGCATCTAGACAGCTGGTAGATCCAAAGGCAGTGCCATTCTTTACAGCACTCGGAGCACTAAGACTGCATCTTAAACGACGCTGTTCTACAGCTTTCCCCGATGTTTGCTGCAAAATAAAATAAACGTCACTCAGTAAATTTCATTATCTTACTTTCATCATTTACTTAAGTGGAAATGAAGCTATCGTCTAAATATGACTGTTGGGAACTGTATTAACCTTATAAGGGATGAAGATGGCCGTCTTTTGGGTGGTTGTACTGTATAGTATGGTAGAATCGCTAAGATGATGGCGGCAGCAAGGACCTCTGAATGTTGGTAAACTTGTACCAGACTATATGGCGCAGAAGATAGCCATCTTCAAACGCACTGCTGTGAAAACCTCAAATCCTCCTTATAACTGATTCTACGAGGCAAAATCCTTATTGACAATCTGATATGATAAAAAGTGTGATGTAAGAAGTACAGCCTACAAAGAGAAATTCATCCTTGTGGATGTTCTTTATGCATAGTCAATGTAATAATGTTAACACGGCAATTCGTGAGTTGTAACAACAGTGATTTCATTATACTTCATATAATTAATACCCCTGATTGCTTCATGCAATCCCTTAAATGTACGTTTGCCACTGTGGCAGAGTCATAACTTCACGAAATCAGTCTTGTAATTTTCAATAGAGCACAAAATTACACTTAGCAATATGGCTTAGTCACTATTCGTATTCTGAGTAAATTGCATCTAGCTGGCAACACTGTACTATTGCTGGTCATCGAATGGAAAGTGCTGATACAGCTGTCTGGGCATGTTTATGCTTTTTTTGGTATCTAATGAATGAACAATGCAAGGGGAAGTGACTCTGAACGCGAACGACTTGAATGGTCATCGGCAATATAGAATCGGCCAGCTTCCTGGGAGATCCCAAGTAAGTATTCTACGTCTCACTCAGATGTACAAATTGCCCATGATACAGGCAGGTGTGAAAATCTCCAATAGCCCCAACCACTGACGACACATTAAAAAGTCCCCATAATTTGTAAGATTTGAGGTTTTCACAGCGGTGAGTACGAAGATTTCTGTCTTCTAGGTTGTTGCGCTGTGTAGTCTGGTCGATGTTAACCAACGTTTCAGAGGTCATACTGTCTCCGTCATCAGGGCGATATAATTTACAGATATCTTCAATTATGAACTAAGAAATGCCAAGGAAAACCCATGGGGGGCAATCCTGGTTTGTGTTCACAGGGCATTGGTCATCTAACCCTTTAGAGGGCAGAGGCCCCGTGGTTTCCAATCCAGTGAGAGAAATGCCCTGAGGGGTCAAAGGTGCAGGGAGCAAGCCAAGTCGGCTAGGCTCCAGAGTGAAGCAAGATGAAGGGGTCAAAAGCCTGGGGTGGAAGTCCCAGGGGGGGTAGAAGAACCTCTGAAGTGCAACACCCTGAGCCTGTCTGGTGTTGTGGGGAACTCCTGGGGTTGTCTTGTTCCTAGGCTGAAAAATGCAAGACAGAGAGAGGCATGGACATGCCCGAAAGGCGTTCTTCGCACACATTGCAGCATGAAGACCTAAAAAGTAAAATCTTACAATGAAAATTAAAATGTAAATGACGTAATCTATACTATAATCTGAAGACTGAAACCAAAGCTCATTCTGTTATGATATTATCAATCACTTTTGATATTTTTGTCATAACTACTGTGATATCATACATCTTTTTTTTTTTTACCAAATGCCTTTGCACTAATTAAACTCAGATATACGTAACCTAGAATTGACAAAGTTTTCAAATATGAAACCTCCTACCTTCCAGAGCTCTGAGAGTTCCTGTGGTGTCATGTCTGCCGAGTCAACAGGCAAGTTCATAACAAGGAACTTGTCTCTTGAGAGCCCAGGGAACTGAAAGTCTGGCTGGAGCACCACATTAACGGTGACGGACGCTGCTGGGACCAACGTTCCGGTGCTAGGACGTACTCTGAACTTTTCTGGAGAAGTGGTTTTGATCTGGAATTTTTAATACTAGCTGTCAGTCACTAATGAAAGAAGTTAAACATCCAACTGCCTTCAGGAACAATCAAATCTTTGATTCAAGTTCAGGAAGTTTCAAACTACAGACAGTAAATCTGCGAGGCATTTTGGCAGCTCGACTGCCATCCTGCCTTTTACTTTACCTGTAGGATATTTTACTGTGTTAAGTGGGTAATTTGTCAGAATGGCATGGTGTGTCCTCAGGTTGCAGATAGAGAAGGCCTCCAGAGGGGATATAATGACCAAGGAGTTGTGGACATTCAACAAGGAACGGTCCTCTAGCTTGCACTATGGGTGTAGGACTAAGAACTCACCATAAAAAGCAACAAGTTATGAAATGTTACACAGGGCCCCAGACATGGACAGATTTTTTGAAATGATCTAAGCAAATGAATATGGACAACAGATTCAAACGCAGAATGTCAGGAGTCTCTATAGGCCAGGACAAGAGAATTAGCAAGACGCTAGTTACATATAAGGAGGTCAGATGGAACAATCGTAGCACTCGGCCAGCAGGTGGTTGTGCTTCATATATGGAAATGTGTATTTTCACTTAGGGACAGGTTTTTCATACAAAAATGGACCACATAAGCACTTAATTTACTGGGTGAAATTTCGTAATTTCTATAGCTTATAGCTGAGATGATTATTACCAGTCAAAAACTTCACATGAACATGTATCTGATTCTTAACAATTATGGAGCTATGGACGTTTGGCATTGAAAAATAAAAACGAAGAAGCATTTGGTAAATGTTATAAATAAATTTACAATAACTGCTGGAAATGGCCACCCTCAACTCAAGATCTGTGAATCATGTGCATAGCTTGCAATAATTTATTATGACCATCCATCATGTGGGCCGCAGCATCCACAATGCAATGAAGTGACGTGTCTCATGTTTAAAACTTTTTTATCAATGCAGTAGTCAACTGTCATTGAGCCAATTACAAATTAGTCATTTGTATGATCACCCACTTTGAGGTGTTAAGTATGGACACGCGCCTTCTTCGTTAGTTTAAAGTTTAGATGCAAAAGTGTTAATGCTGACAGTTTCAAATATCCAGTTCAGTAGACGATAAATATCGTAAAAGTTCTGACGGTCACAAGTATGAAGATGGCTGTCTTCTCAGTTGTGCTCATTTCTGAGGTGCTTGCTGCCTCCATGATCAGGGTGATGGCAACAACCCATAAGACACTCATCTTCATGCTTACCACCACCAGAAACCAAAATCTCACCAAGAATACCTTCATAAAACATTACCTCTTTTGCACACACGAATTTTGTCAGCGAGTATTTATCTTACCTTAATTCACGGGAATTCTCACCTTATAAGCGATTATCTTGTTACCATTATTAGTCAACGTAACACTCCCCATTAACTCATCATCTTTATTGGTAAAGTAGATGACATCAGGGGGATGGATGGACAGAGATGAATCTGGACAAAAAGACAAACTGTGCAATACAACGAAATGCTAGTGCATTCTTGTCTTCAGGGTTTTGGCCACACATTAATTAAGTTTAGTACTATGCATTAAGTTTAGTACTAGAACCATAACAGGAAAAGATGTGAAACGAACATTAACCTTATCGTACGGGAACTGGGGATTTAAACTCCTGTAAAATGGGACTGCCAGCTGGATTATCAACTCTTGGTATTAATGGTACTACAACAGTCAGCTCGACTACACGCAAGCCACGAGGCACTGCTGATACGTTTAATGATGAAGTGTACCTACTTGGTAAAGATGCGCCATCAACTCTGATTCCTGTATCACCAAAACCAGCAGGATACGAGTCTACTGATGGCGAACCATCAGCAAAGTGAACCTGCAGGCATTAATAAACAGAATAAAAACATCTCCTTGATGACGGAGGCAGCAAGGATCTCTGAAACGTTGGTAAACTTCTACAATTACAACCGTATATAAAGTGTGTTAAGTCCAGTGCTGAAGTCAGTGGGGTGCAGAGATACCACCATACTTCTTCGTACTTCTAAAACAATCGTAACGTTCCTGCTGCCACCATCGGTAAGGTCCTTTAGTCTCAGTGGTCATAGGTCATGAGTCTAGAAGTGGGTAGAGTGGAGTCTGAACCGCGAAGGGTCGTAGCCTGTTTCATCAGGGCTGTAATGGTGACCAATTAGCTTTCCATATGGTGGAAGCGCCTCACACTGGGCACTGCCAGAATTACTTTCCTTGGCTTCTATACCAGTTTATTCTACTAAGTACACGCACTACAATTGTGGAAGCTATCATACGTAAACTATATCTAACAACTGATCACTGAGCTCTTCCAAATTTTAAACGGGGAGCCAGTTCTTCGTTGTGCTTATCTCCTTGGAGCCTGGCTTTAAAATGACAATTGCTCGGGTACCTACATGTGGATTATCGCGCCGGCATCTGCAGTTACGAAGCAGAAGCAAAACTGTTTGCACTGCTGATACTACGATCTTTCGTGCGCAAATGACCAGTTGTTTCACTTTATCTTTGTTACACAATCAATTTCCTTTGAGAAAACTTAAAACCATCTCAAGAACCTCTCAAAATTCTGCTACCTTGGGAGGAGGAAAACAAAATTTATTCTCTTATATATTTTTTTTATTTGTGGATGGGCCAAATTCAATTGAATCATCAACCGGCACAAAGATTCAGCAGGCCAACTCAAAAAACTTTTTAATAATCATTGGACAACAATTTAACAGCAAGATAAACTAAATGAATTTTGTTGATTGATGATTATATGTAATTGTCCTGGATGTTCTATATCGTAGGCCATATGTAAGTTATGACCAATGACAAATCAAGGACTGAAATTTGCAAGTGAAGGTTCTGTTTAACATTGTGGTGATTCAAAAACAAAATAGCAACAGTTAATTGAAACAAGGGGGCAGGGGGAAGGACTCAGCACAAACTAATCTCTAATTGCCCTGATATTGGACGCAATATGTTCCTCTGAAACACGGGTACACAGCTGAAATATAAAACTTAAAAGAGTTTTGCATGGATGTGAAACTTGGCCTCTTACATTAAGGGAAAAATACAGACTGAATATTTGAGTCCCATAAAACACACGAATTTTTGACTATTTGGGCTGCTATCAGCTTCTCATGAAGTACAGTACTGTGCTGCATGGAACGAGTTAAAGACCTATATATGGTTTCTAGGAACTTCCCACCATGAAAGCAATTCTTCATACCATAAGGATAAAGACAAGTTAAGCCAAGTGCACATGGCGTAACGGTTCACCAATTTTGACCTTTGCACCTGTATGCGGATTCCTCACAGCTTCATCTACACGCAGAACGACATGTTGGTATTCACGTAAAGTGTCTTTTGTTATTCAACTTTAACATGAACTGGAATGTGTCATAAAATCTTCTTCTTCTTCTTCTTGTAGCGTTATAACCCTATGTGGGTCTTAGCTTGTTCGACGAGTTTTTTCCATTCCGTCCTATCATTCACAATTCTTCTCCATCCCCTCACTCCCATCCTCCTCCACGCCATCTACCCATCGTTTCCGTGGTCTCCCTCTCATTCTTATTCCCATCGGTCTCCATTCCGTCACTGTTCTAGTTACCCTCTTTCCTTCCATTCTTGCAACGTGGCCAAGCCAGGCTAACCTTTTGCTTTTCATCAGCCTCACGATATCTGCTCCCTGTATGATACAATCTAGTTCGTGATTCATCCTAATTCTCCAGGAGCCATCACTATTCTGTGTTGGACCACAGATTTTCCGTAATATTTTATTAAAATGCGCAAAAATTTGTTCAGTAGTTCTAAAATTGCTCGTTACACGTGGACAGACAAGCACGGCAAAACAAATAGTAAATTTCTTGCAACGTACTCGTGAGTGCTCCTAAAAAGACATGGGAAGGTCAAAATCAGATGACGAACGTGCTGCAACTATTACCTTGCTATTTTCTAATGTTGCACATTTTTTTATACCTTTTTCTTGCTGTCATCAAATCTATCATAGAGTACAGATGATCGCTGCTCAGGAACAAATGTAAATGTGTAATCATCGAAACCTCCCCAGCACTTCAGAGCTTGGTCAGGTTCAACATACTCTTTCAGATTTGTTTTATTTATAAACTTTATTTTTTGAACTGCCTTTGCTGGTAGCCAGGATTTTATTATTTTGAAGGCCGCTAAAACAGAAAGGACACAACGTCAAAATGTCATCCCTATATATATATATATATATATAACAGGATGTTTTTTATGCACAGCACATACTACTTACCATTTAAAATCCATGGCATTTCGAATACCAGAACGTAATTAAGGAAATCAGGATAATACATATTAAACAAGCCAATTAGGTACTTGATAAATTCCATATCCATATTTGACATCCCAGTATCTGCCATGTCAAAGAAGATGCTGATCTGATTACCATTACCCAGCCTGAAAAATCAAATTTGTGACACAGAATTTGTTCCAAAATGGTGGGTCACTGCCATGAAGACAGCAATTTCACTAATCCACTTAATGTCTAAGAAATCCATAAACCCAAATGAAAAAAGAAGAACGTTACGAATAACCGTTGCGGTAAACACAGAGATGGCAAACTCTATGATGAGAGTGGGCATTATGTGGCAGGAGGAAGCAGAGCCGGAAAAAGAAATAATTATAGGAATGGTACGGACAACGCGTAAAAATGGCAAAAAGGGAAGACAACAGAAAGGAAAGTCTGAGAGCTCTGCTGGTCCACCTGTCAGGACAAGAACCGACCTCAGTCCATGATGTACATCTTTATTCACATTAGGGATTTTCCTTTTAAGTAACAGTTGTAATAACAGTTTTACTTCCTTCAACTTGTAAGAGTAATTTCCTTTAAGCAACCCATGACATCAAGTGATTCTGGAAAATACATGACACCTATAAAACAGGTTTATTACGAAGACTGCTGTCTTCTGGCCACCGCATCAAACTCCAGGACACCTCTATCCTGTCAACAAAATCTGGATAAGTGGATCGGATGATCAGGGAGGCCATCAAAATTGAATTACGTCCCAACAACTTCAACAGGGAGGATGGACTTCGCCCGAGCCAGTCACGGAAGCCCCTCATTCACTCTCTCCGAGGGCTCCATAAGCATCCCAGAGAGCATTGATTGTCCCACCCGGGCCACTAACCACTACTCGGCCCTTTTCAGGGCACATCCAGCCCCAGCCATTGCTCCCTTCCACTCTCCTGCTTCCTCCCACATCTTGACCGCCCAACTCCCGTGTGTTCGGTGTCCCACCTGACGAACTCCCTAAGGCCCTCAAATGGGCTGTTCCTCAGACCTCACTATCTTTCTTTCCTTCTCTCTATCTCTCTAGCACGCGCTATGACACGCCGACACACTACTATTGGTTCCCACGCCCTCGCCTGATTCTGACACCAGTCCCCGCTGGTTAGGATTAGGCTACTCCTTTTACTGTCCAGTCCCTACAACTCTGGCGCTTTCCGCTCGCATGGCTCATTCATCACCCTGATGATGGAGGTAGCATGGACCTCTGAAACGCTGTTGGACATCTACCAGACTACACGGCACAAGAACCCAGAAGACAGCAATCTTCAGACTCACCGCTGTGAAAACCTCAAATCCTACACAGGTTTATTACCTCTCAAGCCGTTCAAACCAATACACAACACATCTCTTCAAGTCTTCCATATCTCGCTGCCCTTTCACATGTTTTTTAGATTTAAATATAAGGAGAATCTTTCCATCTTTATCTTTGTTATGAGCAAACAAGCTGCCATCTTGAAGATAATCTAACCTCACATTATTTTCATTGATTTCTGAAATTGAAAATTTCATAATTAGCAACATTTACATAACAATCACATCAAAACAAGGATAATTATCACAATTTCCGAACAACTGTGACCAGATATGCGCAGTTCACATTTTGCCGAGTGGCCCGTTCATACACCTGCATGTTCATTATCACTGATATTCCTCGTCTAACAAGACTGAACTTTGGTATGTTTAGTGTTCTTTTCAATGACAACATTAACAAAGAAACAGAAAATTGCATTAATCGGATGAAAAAAAGTATAAAGTAAAGTCATTCTTGTGCTTAATTAAGCACCACACCATGATGGGGGGAGATGGGCTTTCTCTCTGTGCTCTGGCCAAGCTGAGGCCCACCATGCCTTATCCTCGGGGGCACCCCCTCCAGTGCACACCTCCTGAGCCAAACACCCCAACACCACTCCAGATTCCCCCAGGTCAAATAACCCTACCAAACCTACCAGATCATTTGGTTGAGTTCAGATGTTTGTGCTAGTGAGGATGATTACGATTGTTAGATAGCAGAAAGTTTACTAACAAATGGGATTCCCCTAGAAGAGCAGCAGTATTATCACTTACCATTGGTCCCAAATTTCTTCCGCCATTCACAAGAATCCCAAAGTCGCTGTAACGCGAGCTGCACGTCAATTTCCGAGTGCACAAGAAATCGTTTCAACCAATCATCGCTATTCTTTACCCGAGCAAGATCGGCAGGATGAAACCCTTCTATAAAATAAGAGAAACAAATTTCTTTTATAGCACTTACTTACGCGTTCATAATTTGCATGTCAAGTCATGGGGGATAATGTAATTGCATAACATATAACCCACAGGGGCAATGAAACATTACACGTCTGCATTTTCAACACAAAACTCTGTAATATGGTTTCACTGGTGCACTAATATGGTGATGAGGTAAGAGTGGCCCTTCAAAGGGCCAGAAAGGGAGGTGGAGTCTGACAAGAATGTGGGATTGGGAAGAAATAAGATACGGTCCATGCGATAGGGAGAACCCATACAGAGAACCGGAAATAAAAATGTGTATTTATGCTGGTATTACTTATTGTATTTGTATTATGTCTTTGGCTTAGTACTATGAAGGACTTGAGGAATAGTCTGCCATGAACAACTCAGTTAGAAAATAAACCTGTTTATAAATCTCGCATTTCCGACTTCAAGTCAATTTAAACACCGACATTACGTTCCAGAATATTTGAAAATATGTAAAAGCCAGTAACGCATTTCTTTAACTCGAATAATATCCTCACAGAAGAACAATTTGCAAAAAGAGGTCTCTCAACTTACGAGCCATACATCCAGAAGTTACCACGACTGAATACACGACGTGGAACAACACAAAGTACTAGTACGAGTACCATTTAAAATATTAGTATTTTGGTACCATTTCAAAAACTACTTTAACTGTCTCCTTTTTGCCCTAAATAGTTTTGAGACGTAGGTGGTAGACTGTTTAAGATTTCTATGCCAGTACGGTGACCACGTTTTTAAACACAAAAAGATAAATACTTAAATCTGCACTTAATAACAAAATTGATATTTTGTAACCTTACTAGAGCATTTGTATAAACCATAATACACCACTACCAAAACCAAATTTTTATGAAACTAAAAGAAATGGTTTAAATCATGCCTCAATGGCAGAAGAATATAAATTAAATCTCCTTATCAAATAACATGTACTTAAACTGGGGCTTCATAAAACAATCTTGAATGCTGGGTCCTCTGTTCATCCTCTTTTCATAAATGATCTACCCCCAGCATAAATTCCGAAACCAAGCCTACACTAAGTATGATACGACGTTTCCATGGTGGCGAGTCACGAGACAGCCATCTTAAGCCTAATGATGCTAGTTATTATTAATCATCCCGATAGTAACTGCTTAATGATGTTACTCCTAGCCTCAATAAATGGTTTAAAGCCAATCACTGACATTCAATTTTGGAAAAAACAAACAATTACATTTCTTATTAACAACAAAATGATTGAAAAAGTAGAAAAAAGCCCACTGAATATTATCCTCAAACTACTCATGAAAACATTTTTTTTAAAATAGTTTACATTGCTTATTTCCATTCCCCCATGTCATATTAAGTTATCTTCTAGGGAAATCCAACAGCCAGCAAGAGTATATAAAATTTAAAACTTTCATGGCAAATAAATGCTGTGTCAATGTTGGGATAAAAACCAATCGCTCAGAGACTTTCTTGGTTGCCATCATCAGAGTCAAAGACCCTCATAACGCAGACAGACCGAGTACCTGAAATTCTGGTTTCTAAATCCATGGATGATCTTATAGGATTTTATATCAGACAGCAAGAATATTTAACATCCAACAGAAAATCATTAGAATAATGACTGGTATTAAAAAATGGTCCCTTAAAGATAAATATTTATAAAATTAAAACACTTCTCCTTGCAAGTGAATTCTTGCTCTCGTTACCGTCGTTCATTTAAGAAAACGTGGAAACGTTTCAAACAAATTCTGACATACACAGTATAAACACAAGGCATAAACATAACCTCCATATGACAAATGCTAACCTCACTAATCAGAAAGGTGCTTTCTATGACGTGTTCCATGACCTTGGTTTGAAGTATATCAATAAATTCTATTCTATTAAAGTCTTCCATACTGCAAGTTTATTACATATTACTGCTGTTCCATAAATTTACACAACAAACAATAATATATGACAATACACATGCTGTCTTTCACATATAAACCTCTTTCAGCCTATTCTGTATTTACTTGATGCTAAAAACAAAGGCATCGTACTTAGTAAAAATTAGCACACAATCTTAAGTTTAATATACCAATGGCATTCAGTGACTAACTACAAATTAATTAAGAAAGAAACTTCTTAGTTGTAGTGCAATGTTAAATAAAACTTTCACAAAATCAGGAAAAATTTTAGGTTATGGTAATAGCAGGTTAAGATACATCAGATATTAAGGTCTGATCAAGAGTTATGAGCAGAATTTGAAGTTTTCACGGCGGT